CCACATACATACATATAGGCAAACCCATACACATACATACAAACATGCATATCTACATACATACAAATGCAAATACCTACATACATTCGTGCGCATATATATATATATATATATATGGACTAATTTTAAAACTCGAGTTCATAAAAAGAGTGTGCAGCCTACAACTGGTGAGATATTAGGAAAACTATTTGTTTCCATAAAATGCCAGAGCATTTCCAGGTTGAAACACATAAATTCCAAGCGAGTTATAGCTTAGTATATCAGCTTTGGGAGCTGAAAGCGCAAATACATCAAGAAAGTCGACAAGCGATATTTTACCATTGACACAAGGTCGGGAGGAAACAAAATGCACACAAGGAGAAGGGAACAAACAAGAATAAATTAAGCCAAATTCGGCATTCCGAAATGTATATAAATGAAAATGGTAAGACAATAATTGTTGAAAAAGAAGAATAATTAAATAAATATATATTCAAAATAAATGAGTAATGTGATTAATGGAAGCAATCAAAGAATTGTCATTCTACAAGCAATAACGGAAAAATTCACAAACTAAAAAAGCAAGGCATAAAGATGATTGCTTTGATGAAAAATATTACAATAAAAATACTACAATATCAACCAAAAGTCTGAAAAAAAAGAGTTACAACACAAAGGGTATACCTTGATTTCTAAAATAGTATTTTTGCATTAAAGGGCTAAGCATAATTTTATAAATTATCTCCAGACCGGCTAGAGATAAGCCTGTTTAACTGACTGACTCGAGGGATGACTATGAGGAAAAAGGAGAGTGCATAAGAGCGCAAAAAAGAGAGGCTGTAAAGAATCAACTAGATAAGCTTTACAATAAAAATAAACAATTTGAGTATTGTTTATTAAGGATACAACTTACCCAAAGAGTGCTCCTGTACCGCCAATCCAGCTCACTTAGAATCGAGTGGTCACCCATTTCTGCACTGGTCTGAGCAACTAAAGAGGGAGAACCCTGGACATATGGAGATCTGACGCCCCTTACCAATAAGTTACGAGACAGCCAGGTTCTGGGAGTCTGAGCCATTCGGCGCGAGCGAGTGAGGTGATCGGGTGAGCCAAAGACATTATCGTCGCCAGTAAGATGATAGGTCCAAGTTGAGCTGAGTGAAACAAAAGAGATGAGTATAAAAATTATTATTGTATAAATAAGAGTAAATAAAAAGATATAACAAAATTTTAAAAAAAGAGTCTGACGAAGCAAGGTTCTTGGACAGCAGGAAGAAAAAAAGTCGAAATACTTCAGCATCAGCATTTTATTTTTTTACTATCTTAATTGCAACAAATGAATCTAAACGATATTTGATTGAATCCAAAGTAAACGTATGTTTGTGTAAATATTTCAGTACTTATGCATTAGTTAAGCTACATTAATAGGATATCACTTCTCGACATATTTTACTGCATAGCACATGCCCCGTAATGTAAAGCGGGTGATTAGCGTTCCAATATGGTCTTGGAACGGGAACTATCACCAGGCACATAGGTATATTACTTATTCTCATCGTCGATTCCTCAAGTTTTTGTTCCGAATCCGCCACATGCACATTAAATGCCAAAAAATTAGGCATAGTAGAATCTTCTAAGCATAAAATCATAATAAACGTATCTTTTTTTTGTTGTCTGAGCCATAAATGTAAAAGCAGATTCCCACAAAGTAACACAGCTTACCAACTAGGCCTTCACACAAGTATTAATGGCTTGGGATTGTTGTTTTAGTCCATGAGCATAAATACTTTTTCATTTTAGACCTAGCCTTACATAACACACTTATTTCACAAAATGCAATAGTTAGAGGCCTTGTTGCTGCGTCCTTAGGAAAACTTTTCAGACAGGTATAAAGATCAAATTCTATTCCAAACTCCGGTGTTTTCGGGTATCCTTGCAGCGACTCTGCTTGTTAAAAGCGGGACTACGTAAAGTGAAATATAAAAATCCTCTGATTGCAATCTCGTTTACCTAAACGACTCATCGTATGGTAAGTATTAAAAACTGGAATGAAGTAGATATTAAAACAAAGAGAACAGTGAAGATAAAGTTGATAAGTTCAAAGGGAATGAAATGAGCGTCTATGAATAGCGGATAACTTACATCTAATGATTAACATAGAAGTAAAAAAGAATAACGAGATACAAATAGATGGCTATATAAAAGGCTAATTATGGGCGAAATGTGAAGGGATGATTATACTCACTTGTTCAACAATTGGTTAATCCTTATGTGTCGTGCAAACCTAACCGGGTGATCGCTACCTAACGAAGGATGGTAAGCACGCTGAAAAGTGAGTGACCGGACCTTCAATGAATGCCTGCCAGAAGCGATATGTACCTCCTGGCCAGATACCCGTACACGCCTGGTTTCTGTTTCGAGCAAAGCAATGAGCCATAATTAATAAATTGCAAACACCAAGTATGCAGGCGACGACAAATAAAAAATAGTTTATACAGGATAGAGAAATGTTTATTTGTGGAAAAAAAGGTTCTGAAAGAGAACTAGTTAATAAAACTGATTAAAAAATGTTCCGTATAGAGACATACAGAAAGTGAGAAGTATGCCCAAGAAATAATTGAAATTTAGGTCATGAGAATAAACAAATAAGCTCTAATGTCATCAGCCATGCATTAAAAGGTAAAAAAGATTAATATAGGCTAGTCTCTGAAATAGTATAGTTAAGTCTTGGTAGAAATTTAATGCTTACAAAAAGGCCATCGTTAAAACAAGAGGTTGTAAGCTAATTTAAAAAATTCAAGTCACGCAAATCTAATAGAAACAATGATAAAATAAAATAAGATAAAAGTTTCATTCAATGGTACAATCATGATGGAATGAAGTAAAGTTGTGGCTTCAACAGGTCATAGTGTGGATTCACTTGCAGATAATATGATAGTAACAAAATTTTTTTAAAGAAATCATGGGATAAATAAGTAAAGCAATCAAAAAAACAAACGTATAAGTATAAATACAATCAAGTGTGTACAGGATACCATAAGACTGTTAATGTCGATTATTAAAATATCTGCAATGACTTAATAAGAGATAATTTTAATTCAGTCTCTTCATAAAAAAGGTTCACTGGCAGAATGCAAAATGAATGAAGTTTTAGGTGAATTACTCAGGTAGATAAATAATTTTGCTTCTAGAGAAAATAAAAAAGAATTCAACTACCATAAATTAAGAGCCAGAACTAAGAATATGATTCCTCAATGTCTGACTAAAAAAATATGGGAGAAAATAAATATAGAAATTACTTTAAATAACTACATAGTTTATACCTGCATTGAAGCTATTATGCAAACAATATACAAGAAATCCTCTTTGGGAAAAATACGAATGAATAATATTTTTTAACGTACCCGTGAAAAAGGGAGATTTATTATTACTGTCCGAAACAACAGGAGCATGAGCAGAAGCTTTCCTCCACCAAGGAGCCAAAGCATTATTCCGCCCCACTAAGCTGAGCTGACGGCCCGTTGAGCCAGCTATCACACGTATTAGGCGGCCGGACTCCCGAGAATACACAAATGTTCGCCCAAGCCCTGCTAGTCCGATAAGGCCAATATCTGTCTCGGAACCACCGCTACCACTTGTGGAGACGGTGTTTGAGGATGAGACAACCCCGAAAATTGATCGGCGGCCACCTGCTGGAACAGACAGGTCATTTAAATCGCCTGCAGATTGATCGCCACCAGCCAAGATTGCTAGATCCAGACCAGCCTCATTTTGATCGGAACTCGATTCAGAGCAGAGGTCAAGTCCGTTGGCTAAGCCAGTATCTGAGGGCTCTAAAAGACGAGTAAGAAGTCCGTCTGAAGAGTAACCGAAACGCCAGCAGCCACCATGAGGAGAAGTCAATTTGGTGATAAATTGGCCAGTCAGAGTAACGTTATAAATAAGACCTGAAGTAAAAAAACCCAGAAGCGAGGACGAAGTTACAGTAGATAGTTAAGATATAAATAATATAGGACGTACAAGGCATGTACAAAAATGTATACCAAAACGATACCATTATTCTTTATT